AAAACTCCAGTTCTCGATGATTAAAGGCCGCAACGTATCAGATCTAATTGGAACACGACATTTTTCTAATCATCGTTTGTGGTAGTTTAAAGTTGTTTTTAAGGTCACGACCTCCTTTAGTGTTAAAAAAAAAAGTGTCAAATATCGGAAGCTATAATTAAGTGTACTGTTATAGTTATTTTAAATATTATCTTGCTGCTCGTACTATTCTCCCTACCTTTCCCCTACCTCATATTACTAAAGCAGTGATTCAGATCAGAGGGTAAATTAGATGCATTCAATTTGTTAATCTAGATTCTAGACTCTAGTGGATTGTTTAAAAAATTAAAAATAAAATAAAATAAAATTCCTTTGCACTATCGTGAAGTAGCGTGTACTTATAATGTACTATTGAGAATTTTAATATATCCCTTTTACTGTATTAAAACAGAAAACAGGATGCTGATGTGGCATTTTCTTATTAAAATGTTTTGGCTCCAAATGCACCATATTGCATTAATCATTCTGCCACGTGTCATCTCCTTTTAAAAATAAAAAATATATTTACAATATTAACGAAAAAATCAGATGGTCACGTTCATTCAAATTTTGAATTTGACAGTGTATGAAATTTTCCTTCTCCATTTATTTAGGACTTCCGAAAAAATTAATTTCTGGTCAATCAATTATTTTCATAAAAAACTAAATTCATTCCTAATCAGTTTTGATTATTTACATATCGATTTATTAGGTGGGACGCCCCCGAACATTTGCCCAGTTTTATTTAAATTAAAAAGGGGGAATTTCACCTACAGGTACAAGATTCACTCTAAAATTTGAGTCATGATTGTACTTGATGGGTATATCCTGTCGATTTCATTGATTAATCAGAAATCATAGCCATGATGCTGCGTAGTACTTTCTTTGCAACACAACGAACGAAACAATACCAATGAAGATAAATAATACTCCCTTTGTCCCATAATTATTATTCTGTTTGAGTTTTTATTTCTAGTTCAAATAATATTAAAAGTGAAATCTCAAATTGTACAATAATTTTGGGACAAAAGGATTAAGAACCTAGTACTCCCTTCATTTCAAAATGTAGATTGTTTTAGTTTTAGAGAAATATTTTGAAATGTAGGTCGTTTTAGGATTTCAAGGCAAATTAAAGATTAACTTCTCAACTTTGCCTTCAATAATTGATGCTAACCACTTTTTATCTAATTTTAGTTACAATTCCAAAACAATTAATGAAGGACAATAAACATTTAACACACAAATTAATCATTAAATGATTGTCTCTTTAATCTACGTGTAGAGTCTAAAAAAACTTTACATTTTGAAATAGAGAGAGTATAAGTAATAGTAACAAAAGTCTCCTTTTCCTTTTTCTTTTTTTCCTCATTTTCCGTGCAAAATTATAAAAGATAATTCTATCTAATTCCGAAATAAAAAGTGGACAGGGAGTTCAAAACGAACAAAACTTGTTGTTCTTCTATCTTAAAATAATTGAATTAAAAATGAAAATCCAATGAGAATAATTATTTCAGGTCGATAGAAATCTCTTTTTGTTTTTTTTTTTACATACTATGCATGGTATTCTAAGTGAATTACACTCAGTCTAATCACCAAGTCGGGTAGGTTTCCTTTCGGATGGAAACTCTTCAAACACTGCTCTTTCCATTCACGAGACTCGAAGTCGAGACCTCGATTAAGAGAACCTTCAAAGCATCTTATCACTTTGGCCAAACAAGTGTTTGTATATCTTTTGTATTCTTCATAGCACGATTAACTCATTTTTATATGAAAATTGATATGTATAGTAAAAAAAAAAATAGTGAAAAGTATAGTGAGTGATGTAGAGTATTTTTGGCCCCTAGTTTCTTGCCACTTTCCCGTTAAAAATTTATATTTCCCTAAAAATTGCATTTTTATCCCAAAGTTAATAAGTATACATATTTAATAAGAATTGTGTATTTGTCTTTTCATTAGTCATTATTCCATTTCACTATAATTTGTCAATATTTATATATTGCTCTTTTTATATATACATGTGTGTTTCCAAATGAAATAGTTGGGAAATGATACAGTAATTCATCTAGTACCCATACATCCTAAAAAAACATTCCATTTACATGAGGTCTTGCTACAATAGATGTATTCTCCATTCTTATAGTAAACAAAAAATTATTTGTTAAATTATTTTAATTAAGTAAATAATTTGCTTACTTTAGAAAATGACGTTTTATCTTTCTAAAGTTGACGCATCCAAAATCTAGTGTAATATTGTTGGTTGTACGGGGACGCCAGAACTTGTGACTTACGTAACTACTACATAATTAGCAGCCATATGGGCGGTTTCCGATAATTAAATTATTATTATCCTTCAAGTATTCCTAGTGAAAATGTCATGCGATTAAAAAAAAAAAAACCCTTTCATAATATTCAGGCCACATAAACATTTCCACTTTAGACCTTATTAATTTCAGTCAGCCTTTAGACGCCCAGCTAGCCACACCTCTAAAAATATACTACTTCTGTCTAAAAAATAATAATTCATATTATATTTTGAGCTTTATATTATTTTTAATATAAAATTTTAAAATTTAATATAGATTTTTTTTTTGAGGTAGAACGAGTAAAACTATAATTAATTAACTTTCTTTCTTTAGTTTTTAATTCAACTTGTAATTATGCACTTCATTGTATGCCTATATGTCTCAATAGGACATGGATAAATGTGTATTTCTTTAAATATAATGTTCTGTAATGAGATATGCATGATTTGTAAACAAATAAACAAGAAGTCATTATATTTTTATTTATAGAGGACATGTTACAACTTATATATTTCTACTAAAGGTAGCAACACCATGATCATCTTGACAAAAATAAAAAATAAAAAATAAAAAGCGGGTATATCTCGTGATGATATAAAATCAATAAAAAGATACAAAATCTAATTAAAGACTGAGCAATTGCAAATCCAGATTGCATTCACAATAAAGAGTACAGTATCAACGACGAACTTCCCATTTTTTGACGAGAAGTAGTCTTATTCTTCAAACCCAAGATTAATTCATCATGGCCGATTTCCTGCTCCACAAAAATATAAAAACTAAAAAATAAAAAAAAATAAAAAAAGAAAAATAAATGAAGAGTGTGAGGCAGCATCAGGTCACAATTACCTATAACCTCATTAAATGGTAGTATATGTCAAAATTAATTAGTTTTTGAGAAAAATATCTTATAGGGCTTAAATTCTTTGGACATGAAATCTTCATTTATGACTTGAGGTTGAAGGCAGTAAAGTAGCCTCTAATAGTAATGGGTGGCGGAGGAAAGAACCGACATTACTGTTGTAGCCGCACGTATATTTAATTTTATTATTTATTTAATTTTGCTCTTGTTGGAACAACAATGAGCTTATATATACACATGAATTAAAATTGTGAAATTCCACGCTATATTTACAAACGCTCCGAAGGCCTCTATCTATTGACTATTGGTCGAAGTATAGATGGTCGTCGAAAGCAAATGCCAGTTTCCGTGCAATCTAAGGAAAAAAAAAAAAAAGAAGAATATTAATCAAATATACACAAAAAAAAAAAAACACAGACACACACACACACATAGTGATCATGAAAGAAGTTACACATAAGGTACAATAGTAAAAAACTTCAGTTTGCCCATTTTCTTTTCAAATAAAACTTAAAGAAAAACGGTGATCCACGCTTCCAACAATTTCTTACATTTCTTCCTCTTGTTTTAATGGGAAAAGGAAAGGGAAGATCAAATAACCAAAAACTAGACAAGTACTATAAAGTATTGGTGAACTTGTTAGCATCCATCTATGTAAACTTATAAATCTTCAATGCGATGGGTTGTAGAAAGTTGATGCATAAACACAAAAGCAAGATAAATTAGTAAGAAGATTTGTGTGCGCTTTTACATTTCATGGCTCTTATGTGTACTTGAGGAATCGGATCGTGTGTTGCAATGTTAATATGTTTTACAAGTTTTGGCACAGAACTCACCGTGACGTAACTCAATTACTTCTTATAAATTGTATAATTTGTGTTAATTCACATACACAATTACATATTTTCAATGCATATAATTTTTATATTCTTATTTTATACTCTCTCCGTCCTATAATTATTGTCTAATTTTCCTAAAATGAAAGATTTTATTTTTGGTCAAACTTAACTATATTTTACCTTAAACAACCGGATATACCCCTACATAAGTAATTGTTTAACCACTAAGATTTTATGGATAATGTTTTTTTACTAAGGACAAATGTGTAACTTGATCCATAAAAAGTCAAATTGGACAATAATTTTGGGACAAAATTTTTTGGGCAAAGTGGACAATAATTATGGGACGGAGGGAGTATATTTTTTATAATAATATTTTTTTAATAAAATTTGACTATTTTTATTGAGTTTTTTAACTATGAAAATTAAAATAAATAATTGATAACCTGAAAAAAGTGAAGCCTTAGTCCTAGAATATATAAGTTCCAAAGTGATGATGAATAGTATATGTATTAACACAAATTATATCATTTATAAGAAGTAATTACACTGTGTAACAGTGCACAAGAAAGTGTCACAAAGAATCCTATGTTGTTTTATAATCATGAGGTTGAGTTTAATTTGAAAGTACCAAAAAAAAAGATACGAAATGGGGATTCAGTTTCAAGGTTTGGGAGATGAAAATGATCTCATTTGAAATTACAAGAAATTCAGAAATTAATCTCAAGGTTTGAATTCATATTGTGATTTAGTCCAATTGCCCAAAATTTCAAGCTGGTGACTGTGGCAACTCAAAATTCCGACCAGCTTTTGAATATTTTATTCTGAAAGATAAAAATAAAAATTAGGCCTTAGCTACTCTGCCTTCATAATTCAAATTGGGCTGATTTTGTGTGGATTATCAGTTAACAAAAATGTGAACTAATAACTGGACTGCTATCCATTGTTGGGGTACCCTTTTTGCTGATTAATTCCAAAATCAAACACAGTCCACTAGTCTACCCAATTACGAAATGTAGCCCGTGAATTAAAAACAAAACTAATTAGAAGAGAGTCCACGTGTGAAAACATGATTGGAAGGAACCCCGCCCGGTGACAACAAGCAGAGAAAACCCACCACCGCTTCCCTCTTCGGTGGTATAGTTCGATCCAGCCATCCCATACTATCCAAAGATTTTGATTCCTCTATTTTCTGGAATTCGAAAGAGAAAGAGGCATTAATCGATACTTTTTACTTCACAAAGAGCCTTCGATTCTTGTACTGATTTTTAAACAAGGTAATATTTCACAGAATTTCAATCTTTTTTTTTAAATCGGTGTGGGACAATTTTGTTGTTGATCTTTTTTTTTTTTTTTTTTTGGTGCGGTTTGATCTTTTATTGTTTTCAATATCATGTTTTTGAGCTTAGACAAATATGGATGTGGTGGATTGAGACTTTAGAGGGCACCCCAGCTCCCCAAGATTGCATTTGTATTGTACATTTTTTTTTCCCTTCTGGCGGACGGTCTCTTTTTAGTTTAGAAAATTTTTAAAGTGGTTACTCTTGTTGGATTATGCTGGGAATTTCGTTTTTGATTATTCTGGGCTATATTTTCGGTAGTTTCACCATGCACACACGAGGAGAATGAATTTTAAAGGTTAAACATATTTTTTTTTTGGTAATTAATAGTGTGATTTGGGGTTCTGAACTTGTTATAGAGCAGTGAAATTCTGAAGGATACTAAAATCTGTAGCTTCCGTTTTTCTATTTACTGGGCTATTTCGTGCTTTGGTGTTTGTGTTTGAGACGTATGTTACCAGGATTCGGTACTTGCAATGTTGAGTTGTGAGAGGGGGCAGAAAACACACCAGGGTAGAACAATTTATGAAGTATTTTGATTGGTGTGGTGCGATGATCCAACAATTTATTGCTGATTTCATTTTATTTACAAGGATTTTCTGTGCTGGTGTTTGTTTTCTGTTGGGTGCATGCATTACAAGAATTCTATAGAGGGGTTAAAGTTTTTCGATTCTTGCCACGTGATTTTTTGTGGCGACAGAGCAGTGGAAACCAAAAAAAATAATAAAAAACGTTATTGAAGTAATGAAGTGATAACTTATTTTGATTGGTGTTGTGTTCTCGTGTGACAGAGTGGTGACAACAAGATGATGAGGCTGCAGACGTATGCTGGGCTTAGTTTTTTCGCTGCCCTAGCTGTTATATATCATGCATTTAATAGTAGAGAGCAATTCTATCCTGCCATGGTGTATTTATCCACCTCCAAGATCAGTTTGGTGCTTCTGCTCAACATGGGTCTGGTCGTTATGTGTATTTTGTGGCAGTTGACTAAGAAGATCTTTCTTGGTCAACTGCGGGAGGCAGAGGTGGAGAGGTTGAATGAGCAGTCCTGGCGTGAAGTAATGGAAATCCTCTTCGCCATTACAATATTCCGCCAGGACTTCTCTGTTACCTTTCTTGCCATGGTTACTGCACTTTTGTTGATTAAGGCTTTGCACTGGTTGGCTCAAAAGCGAGTGGAGTATATTGAGACCACCCCCACCGTGCCTATGTTGTCCCATGCCCGCATTGTTTCTTTTCTTGGCTTCCTTCTCCTCATTGACAGCATCTTCTTGTATAACTCTGTAAAGTATCTGATACAGACTAGGACGGCTTCAGTCTCCCTATTTTTTTCTTTTGAGTAAGTTTACTGCTATAGTTAAAAGTCTCCTTGTCCCAACTATGCTTGTCAAAAAGAAGTCATCTGTACAAACAATTGTTTCCTTTTATATCCGTGACGATGAGATGTAATAACTTGTGCTACAAAAGATCACTATTTAACCATTTTTGTTTTCTGCTATGTTGTTTTTCAGGTACATGATACTTGCTACCACCACAGTCTCTACTTTTATCAAATATGTGTTTTATGTGAGTGACATGCTTATGGATGGGCAATGGGAAAAGAAGGCTGTCTACACCTTTTACTTGGAACTCATCCGGGACTTGTTGCACCTGTCTATGTACCTATGTTTCTTCCTTGTTATCTTCGTGTGAGTAGCTCCGTCTGTGAATCTCACACTTTTTACCGTTTCATTAGTAAATTAGCATTCTCATGGATGCCGCATTCGTCTGTTCCTGAATTTTACACCTTCCTTTCTCAAAGAGAGCCACGTGTTGACTGTTTTCGTTGCGGCCACTGTCAGTAATTAGAAATTTATTTACTCAAGCCTCTGAGGTTGTCGCTTTCACTTTTAATTGAGGTTCCTACTTCATCCATATATGTCGTGGGCTTGTTTGTTTAGTTATCCAGCTGTTGACTTTGCCTTTAGATGTTGTCGGTTTCATAATTGCTTATTATCTTACACGAAGCCAAGTGGAGATGTACTTTTTCTGATATTCCACGTGTTACCTTGCCGCTTTGAAAGCTTTTCTTATCCTTCGATGTATTGTTGTTTGATACATGAAGACAATGGTCTCTTTTGAATTTCTAAAATAGCTCAATTCTGGTGTATTTAGGAACTATGGTGTTCCTCTTCACTTAATTCGGGAGCTTTATGAGACCTTCCGTAACTTCAAAATCCGCGTTGCCGATTACATTCGTTATCGGAAAATCACTTCAAATATGAATGACCGGTTTCCAGATGCAACCCCTGAAGAACTGGATGCGTAAGTTTGATTTGTACTAAATCTTTTGTGAACATGCCCTTTCTTTTATTTGGAGTTTCCGATATACTCACAGGGCTCATTTTCCTTTGGAATTTCAGAAGCGATGCAACTTGCATTATTTGTCGTGAGGAGATGACCACAGCAAAGAAACTTGTTTGTGGGCATCTCTTTCATGTGCACTGTCTTCGTTCGTGGTTGGAAAGACAGCACACATGCCCAACATGCAGAGCTCTAGTCGTGCCACCTGAAAATGGGACGAGTACAGCTGGATCACGAGCCGACAGCCATCAACAAGGTTAAACAATCTGTGCTTTTACCTACTCAATCCTGCTTTATTGGTTTCCTATTGTGACTGCTGGTGCAATAGCTTTGATATTAGCTAGATGTTAGTTCCTGCCTAAATTGTTTATCGTAGTCTTGCTTTATGCATTTCATTTTTTATTAATTCGTACGATGTTGGCTCTTAATTTTGAAAGGGGTTTCCTTTTCAGCTTTGATGCTGTTTTTATGGGTTTCCCCTTGGTTCCTTTTTGAGGCGGATTACTATAATCCATCATCCTTCATTTGAGAGATTCAGTCAGCTTCTGCTGTTGTTGTTTTATGCTTACAATTGCTTTAGGTGAACTATTGGCATTTGGTGATAAATTTGAACACAGAAAAAAATCATCTTTAAATCTTTTGGAGGTTGACAGGGGTGCGTTAAATTAAGTCATGTCCAGCTGTCCATCTAATTTTGTGTGTCGAGGACAAAACTTTTAAACACCGATCATCACTCTAGATGGTAGCAAAATACTCGTTTTTCTTTTGGTGGTGGTGGTGGGGGTGTTATTTTCCCCATTTCTTCCCCTTTAAAATATCATGCAGGCAACTGTTTGTGATTCAGTGTATGTTTTTTTTTTTTAACGCAAACTGATTACTTTTTTGGCATTTGGAAATAGGAACAAGCATGGCTGGTACATCATCTTCTTCTGGATCTACTTCTGCGGGTAATGATGTTGGGAATGGCGATGATGGTAATCACCACCAGGCTCGACTCCAAGCCGCCGCCGCTGCCGCTGCCATATATGGAAAATCTTTTGTTTATCCTTCTCCTAGTACCCCTGTGTGGTAATGTTGTCTATCTCTTGCCCTGGAATCTGCATTAATTGATGGGTAGCTCCTATTACTGCTGTCTCTTTACCTTGCATATTTTTTACTTGTAGGGCTCCTGGCTCAGCTGGTGTAGCCGTAGCAGGACCTCAGTCACAACAGCATCCACTTGGTAGCACCTTTGTCCAGTTCTCACAATTTCCTTTTGCTGGTACACATGTTCCTGGTGGCAATACCGGGTATGGAGTGGGACTTGGTAGCTACCAACCCGTATCGGAATCTCAATTGGAAGCTCAGAAAAAACTTCTGGAGCACCAGATTGAGGTAAGTGGAGATGTACATAGCTTGAAAGTCTTTATAGCTTCATCTTGCCTCTCTCAGTTATGGATCTATATGGAAGTTTAAATCTTTTGAATTCCTTCAAGCTTTCAAGCTCTCTCAGTTTGAATTCCTTCAAACTTCCAATTTCGTATTCTTTTTCAAGTCAGCAAGGATACTGTTGATTTGTAAAGAATCTTTTTTGTTAGGAAGTATTTGTGTTCTTTCGATTACCATGTTGGAGGATGGATCTGGTTTACGCGTAATCAATGACTCAATGGTTTTTGCCATTTCCAATTTCCTTTTGAAATAAAGTGAATGTCAAAGGATTTGTCTTGGTACATGGTATAGCAATGATTTTTTTGTTTTGTTGATTCTTGGGCATTAGGTAGATGTGATCGAGTGGTGTTATCATGTTTCTTGCCAATTCATTTTGACTGAAAAAATCTATATCCTCAGATTTTACAGGCCCAGCTCCAGCTGATAGGGAAAGTTGTTTCAGAGAGAAATACAGAGACAGAATTAGCCGACAAAAGCAACACCAAGGGCAAAGCTGTTGTTTTAGGTTCAGCGTCGTCCTCCTCTTCAGATGGCAATCAGGATGTGTAGACTCAATACAGAAACTAATAGAGTTTCGACCAAGCCCAAGTTTCTAGGTTAATGACAAAAAGAAGAAGAATGTAAGAAAGAAGAGAACAAAAAATGAAAAAATGGAAGACGCTCAAGGAATGCTGACAGGAGGATTTTGATTTAGGATCTGTAATTTTCGGTTATGTCCAATTCAGAGGACATTTTTGTATCATAATGATAGGACTCGTCAACTGTGATTTATGGAATAGTAATTTATATAACAATTATGCCTTTTCAATTTAATGTATATAGGCAATGTTGGAAGTCAGGGTTTACAAGGATGGGGTTATTTCTTTCGTTTTGTCTGAAACGAAATAATCATTTTCATAAAGAAAAGCTTTGGTAAGAGTTATACAATTTGACCTAAGTTGATATAGAACAATAAGCTTGAAAATGTGTAGAGAATGAATGAGTGCGCGACTAGCTAACCTAATGCAAATGCTATTCCAACTTTTCCGAATAAATAGAATTTACATTTATCAAAATGAGACTTCATCTACCTTAAGATGATAATCTCCACATCTAGTTGTACTTTACCATTTTCATCCTTTGATGTTGAGCTTCAAAACCCGCCTTCCTTTCAGCTTCCATTTCAGCTGTCAAGTCACTCAAAGAAGAGGCTAAGAAAATTGAAGTGTCCTTCCTAACTCTTTTAACTCCAAAACCAGTTTTGCTTGTCTACAAATCCCTGATTGTACCTACAGTCCTGCCTGAAATTCCCCCATTCCAGCTTCTGGTGCTTTCCAACAGTCCTGCCTCTCTTCTGTTGCAATAGGCCTGTTTTAATCTTTTTGGCATTTGGGCACTTTGCATTCAGACCGTTCTTTCTAGGCCTTATTGCATGTTTCCAGCGATGAAACCTTTTTTTTGGTAAAAAAACCAATTGTTTCAGGTCTTCCACACCTATCAGAGAAGGTTAACAGTGATCTCCATTCTGGGCTGTAAATTATCATCACAACATCCCTCCTTATCTATTTTGATCTGATGTACAACTACTCCTTATGTATTTACAAATTTGCCATCATGTTTGGCTATAAATAGGAGAAAATGCATTAATGTACTTGCACTAAAAATTACTCCCTCTGTCCCAAACTTATTGTCCAGTTTGAAATTTCATTTTTAATACAATTTAAACTAAAAATAAAAACTCAAACTGGACAATAATTATAGGACGGAGGGAATACATGAAAAACAAAATTTCCTCTTATTTGCTTTCTTTTTTTGTTTTTGTTTTTCTTCCCGCATTTATCTTTTCAAAACTATTAATTACTTTCTCTCTCTCTTCTTACGCCTTACAATTATTTCATAAGATTTCAATTATTATAAAGTCATTCTAATAAAATCTCAAGTAGAGAAGTTAGATAAATTAAATACATCATTTTCTAAATAAATAATTACTAGAACTTTTGTTGGGAACAGAATATTATAATTAAAAATAAATTAAAAAAAAAAGAAGAAAACTTTTGGTTATTATTGGAATTGGCCGGCTACTAGGGGGTCCAACACTACAGATTCTTCATTTGCCTTTGTCTTTAACACGTGTATAGTACCTATTGGCTATTGTAGAAGTTTGACTAAATTAATTAATAAAATATTCTTCCAGTGCGGAAAAACATTTCCTTTTAATTGTACTATTTGTTAGTAGTTCCCCTGCATTATAATCAGTTTTTATTAGAATGAGATACTAATTTACAAATTGGGAAATTTCCTTTCTCTTTTAGTGGAATCATTACATACAGACTTCTAAACTTTTGCAGTGCCATCCCAATTTAGTTAGTTAGATACAGAACCAGTCAGTTTCAGTTACTACAAAATCCTTTTTGATCGTCACAGTAAATAAAAGAACACTTTACAAATCAACAAAAAGCCCTTTCGGTATAGTTGTCAGATTCTTCCTCTGTCATAGCAGAATTCCCTTTATGCTTCATCGTCAGCATCCACATAATATTAGGAAACCCATTTCTTCTTTTATTCCTTTCTTTCTTTTTTTTGTTCAGGTGGGTTTGGCCTTCATTGTTCCAGAACCAGAATTGTTCACAAATTTCTGCAGGGCTGACTCATAATTGTATTTGGTAAGCCTGTTTTATTTTTATTTTATTTGTAGTCATGATCATTTTGATAGTTGCAAGTCTGTAAAGGTTTGGTTTTTTTTTTTGCTGAATTGATGATAATTCTGCTTTCCATGTTTTTGGGTCCACTTTTACTATATTACGATCCAAACTGTTATTGGGTTAATAGTGTATCTGTATTGATTGTGTTTGAATTCATATTCCAGGGTTTGAATCACTGAGTGCTTGGAATCCCACTGATGACTGATAGCCTCTTTTAGTTTCTTAGTGTTGGCAGTCTGAAATTGATGAAGTTTGCGTGTCTTCTCTGTTAAAGCAATGGTTTTGTTGAAGAATTAAGAAGTTCTCTTGTGATTGTAGGTCAGATTGATCAAACCTGATAATTCTTTCTGTTGCGTATTCTCATTCTAGTTTTGTGACAATGATGTCTACGATTGCTCCGAAATGCAATGAATTGGTGTTCTATTGTGCTTAAGAACTGAAGCGGTGGCAGTTATGCGTCTTAAGTTGTGACTGTTCTGGTTTATAACTTGCAGTGCAGTAGGCACTATGTGGAGGAGATCAGGAAGCATGCATGTTAACTTTCGTAGCTTTCTCTTGTTGCATCAGCATGGGATTTTCTCCCAGAGTTGTAGGTTATATTTATTGCATTAATTCAGATCATAATGTTGAACTCCTTCGATACTATCTGTGTTCAAGCACATCATTTTGGCTGGCTTACTAGTATTGTAAATTGAGATGAATCTTATTGGAGGAAGCTTATCGTGTTACCTTTTTCCTAACATGATTGCTCAATAAAGTCTTGGAGGGGTTGGAAACAATGAGTACAAGAAAAAAAAAAAAAAGAAAAGATCTTTCTTGCTTGAAGTCGTCTTCTGTGCTTTCTTACCTACCCATTGACTATAACAACTGGAATTCTTTCCTGACATTTATGGTCCAAATTAAATTCAATCAACTAGTTAAGTATTCTTTTTCTTTTTACTTCAACAGCTGTTTTGTTTCCCCATTGTTTTGAGTTTGTGATACACTTTAATGTCTTCCCTACTACCCTGTTGTGGTGGAATATCTACTGATGTGTAATATGGTTTGAGTGCAGGGCACTTAAATATTCTGGAGTGATTGCCGGGTTTTAAGCCATTGTCACATTGCTTGCTATATTCGATTGAAGTTTGATGATACAATGCAGCTATATCATCACCCATATTCTTTGGACAGCCAGAAAGTAAGGCTTGCTTTGGAAGAGAGGGGAGTTGACTATACTTCGCACCGTCTCAATCCCATCACGGGCAAGAATTTGGACTCCTTTTACTTCAGGTTGAATCCCAGTGCAAAACTTCCCTTCTTCCAGAATGGTGCACACACCATCTTTGAAACCATTGAGATTATCAAGTATGTATACATTTTGCTAATGGTTTATGTAATTTCCCATTATATCTTGTGATTTTCCCTCAACTCTTAGTGCTTAAAATTTTGGTCGAATTGTCTAGGTTTGTTCATTAGATGCACTAAATGAGTTGTGTGCTGTATTATGTACAGGTACATAGATAGAATTGCCATGGTATCGTCTGGCGGTCATAACTTCACACCTGCAAGCCAAGAAGTCATGGAATGGATGAATAAAATTCAAGAGTGGAATCCAAAGTATTTCACCCTCTCACACATTCCCGTCAAGTATCGCACTTTTGTGTCCAAATTCTTAAGGCGTGTCATAATCGCTCGGATGGCGGAGTCTCCTGACCTGGCGAGTGCATATCATCGAAAGTTGCGAGAAGCATATGAGACTGAAGAGAAGTTGAGAGATGCTGAAGTTGTGAGCCGAAGTGAAGAACACCTCGCAAGGCTTCTCGATGAAGTGGAATCCAAGTTAAGTGAAAGCACTTACCTAACCGGGGACGAGTTCAGTTTGGCAGACGTGATGCTTATCCCTGTGCTGGCTAGACTCTCGCTCTTGGATCTGGAAGAAACTTACATCATCAGCCGTCCTAACATAGCAGAATATTGGTTCATGGTGAAGCAGAGACCGAGTTACAAAAAGGTTATCGGAAGATACTTTGATGGATGGAGGCGGCAAAACATGCTGATCAAAACATGGTGCTATCTTCGCGTGAGAACTATGCTGCGAAGATATTGATGGGCATCATAGTTACTGTAACTTGTACCTAATAGTTTTAGTTTTGAACTTGTGCCGTTTGGATTTGCCATAGCTGTGATCTAGGCAATTAAAATTGGTATAGACTGTATATGCATTCCTGTAAAGATTTCTTTCAGCTACAATACGCTATAATCAGTTTCCCATCAAGAAGATTGCTAAGTGCTTTCGTGAGACATGTTTTCTGGTGATATCTGTTAATTTACCTCAGTTCAATATTTTGTTTCATTACTTCATTTTTATATATAAGCCTGGCTGACAAATGTTATAGGTTAACATTGGGACAGAGGGAGTAAGAAACAGTTGGAATAAGAATCTGATTTAACAAGAGTCCAATGTAGGGAAAACATTCAAAATCCCAGAACGAGAATGCGGCACTTTGTAGAGAAGTATTCAATCACATTAAACCTTAAATTGACTACACATACGAGACACTCGTAAGAAACAAAATTTAACCCCAGAAAGCCTTAAGTTGACTAAACATACCCCTGTAAGAAACAGACCAAAACTACTACTTTCTCTGAACAAAATAGTCACTCTCTGTGAAATTCACCATTAGTAGTTAAAGACTTTGAGATGGTAATAATGTAATTCTTTCTAACAGCAAATATGTACTCTTGATTATCATATCTGGGTACCAGCCAGTGTTCATCCACTAAAGATGATTTGTTCTCCCTTGTCTATCACACTAATTAAATTCCAAGGAGCTGGTACCAATACACTGAAGAAGAACCTAAAATTACATGTCGTTTCTACCAACCACTATTTCTCACTCAGGTTGGGACAATGGTAAGGCGCTAGAGTTACATGCATACAAATTACACTACCAAGTACCGATTACACTATTCCATTTGTAATCATTATCACTGTAAGAGAAATGTAAAGGCAGTCACAGCCAAAGACAAACATGCAGACAAGACATCAGGGAGGGAGAGGCGGAGGGGACAAGGGGAAAAGTGGGGAAGGGAAGAGCTGGCAATCACCTCAAACCAGTTAAAACAAACCTCATTGAGCAACTTTGATTTTCAATCTATCAATTGGTATTAAGAACGCAATGAAGAAATATTTACCTCTTTGAGGTGATGTGCTTCATGATCCAAAAACTACAATATAATGAATAAATTGTAACCTAATCTCTAGTGTTAGTAACTATTTTCCATTTTCAGTAAATCCGAGTGACAAAGAATTGAGAATACAGTGGAGAAGCATGAAAGCAAATCCAAAGACTCCTCCAGACCCCTAAATCTAGAGCTAGCTCTCACCTACATGAATCATTATAAATACCACTCTCAAAGTTCCCTTGACAAATTCCATTCTTGAGTTATGCCCATTAGGTAGGTCCCCAATCATCTTTCCTCCAATTCCGACGCCCTCCAGTAATTTCCTTGTTCCACTTTTGTTGCCTAAAGTACTTCCTTGACAAATTATCAGAAACCCTAACTCGCCGAACATCGGATTGATCTGAGCCATCCAGATCCATTCCCACTGCTGACCCGAATGTTGTTGGATGGTTATGAAAGTCAAGAGATACCTGACTATGAGAATCCTGTTCTGGTTTTTGGACAACTTGGCCCATTTCTTGATACTTACTCCGGTCGCGTGGATATGGAGGTAATGGTGGAAAAGGTTGGAAAGGCATACCTGGAGCAACAATCCAATTTTCAGACATTTCACTTTCATGAATTCCAAACTTCTCAACAACTGGCATAGGCACTCCATAAGCAACAGGGAAGCGGGAAATAAATCTTTGCTGTACATGTCCAATTGCTACACCACCAGGGTGATTTGCGCAACCGATTCTTTCATAAACATGATCATTGTCATCTGAATAAGCATCAGGTTCACGCAGTGGGCGTTTCGCTGGGGAACAAAATCCAGGAGGAAGATCCTCATCCATTTGTGCTCCATCACAACCGTTTGTTTCAGGTCCCAGAGGAGAGATTTCCTTGGATGGCTCGTCCCACCGACTCTTGCGCTTACGTTTACTTCGTGATTCAGGGGAGTCTTCTGGCATTTTAGTATCAAAATTACTCATTGCAACAGGAGGTTTTGCAACACAATCACTGGGTTCTGACGGTCCTAGAGCAGAATCAGTCCAGTTAGGATGCACGGCTGATGTCCGGTCATGGCTTGAACCACGGTGAAATTCCATCCATGAATCATCCCGGTTTGTGCCAACATATTTTCTAAAACACCGAGGAATCCATCTATCTCGGAAGCTTCGAGCAATTTGATGGACCTAGAAGATTTTAAGAGAAGCCAGCCTTAGCATAGTCAAAGAACACGAGTTTACACTACAAGACCAAGAAAACTGAAACTGGCAAACAGGAGCAACCAATTTTATCTCACAAGACCTTAAAGGGCACATAAGGTGGTGTCTCAACATCAAAGTACTTCTCCCAAGGAACTGCATTCTGATTTTTCAGGGTCTGACCACCAGTTCGCTTTTTAAAAAGTAGATCATAGTTATAGTCTTATGCTTGTGCCACTTTCAGGGAAATGGGGAGGGAAAAAAGGTCTTTTCAATGTACAGATACGACCTCACAGCTTTAAGGTTTCTTGGATTGAAATGTGAAGGTAAAACCTCTCGACAAAAGACAAACACCAATCACCAATAGGTTAACTTATTAATTCACAAAAATTTCCAATTTAAACGAAAAGATCAACCCACAACTCCAGTTTTAACTGGTCATTATAATTAAAAAATTAACAGCAATGCAAAGAGTTCAAGCTTTTAAAAGGATTATGTTCCTCAAGTCCAAGCAACAGCCAAGTAAAAAATCTTGTGTGGTCTTCTATCATCTCAGTGAAGGATTAATTTATGTAATCTTCATAAAGCCATTTCTCCCCAAAAATTTGAAATATACACTATCGCAAAGCCATTTCTCCCAAGTTTGTATGCATAAGCTTTCACAATATCAACGTCCCCAGTGTGTAACTAGATACTCAAACCCAACAGACAGAATAGAAAAGGCAGGAAAAATAAATAACAATAATTATGAAAAATATTCCACGGCAAGCAAGAAAATAAGAGCAGCTAGTAGAAACAACCACTATAACAGAAGGTTGAGAGAAACACCTGTCTATCAGAGTGCTCGGTCAACTTCAACATCGAGTCTACAAAACTGCACAATGGACAACTGCTTTTCAGTTATCTGGTAGATATGGAACAGAAAATTGTTGCTTGCAAAGACAAAAAAGTAGATCACAACAATACAAGCATACGGTAAAAAAATGAGGCTCGAGAAACTCATTAGATTTAAAAAATAAGTAAAGCAGATCTCATAATGTCATAAGTTGGGGGGGCGCTAATGGTGTTGAAAGAAAAGATGCAACTGATAAGTAGCTCTAACCTCTCTACTCCAGGACAACGTGGACCCCAATTTATATGTTCAGATGTAATTATCTCCCTTGACGCCATATACTCTAACACCTGCAAGTAAAAGACATCAGCTGTCAAAACAGATATTTCAAATAATTTCCAACATTGTGTTCTTAATATTTTAATTAATTTAATGAATTTATATTAATCCCACAGTTCTGGATGTCGTAACTAGCACCATATGATCCATATGCCCGACTCTTTGAGATAGAAACGTTGATGCGGAATGCAAAAAAATGAAAAATTCATGCAAAGATCCAGTGGTACGCAATCCCAATTAAGAAAGCTAAACTAATGATTCCACAGGGCATATCAGGGCATGTGAAAGGTTTGCTATGTGCAGACGCCTTACAGGCCCAAAATTTCCTGAAGGATACATCCTAAAGATTTAAAACTTTTATTTTTGAAAGCCACTAGATTGCTACATGGGTAGGATCCATGGGATGCTGGATGAGAAAACTAGGTAAGACTCCACCTGCGCGCCTTCTGCTCAGAACTGAACCCTGGCCAATTTCCGCTTATCTTACCGCTATTTCTACACATGCTAAAGTAGCCTCCATGTAATCAATTTAAATCTGGTTATAATAAATAATAGAGCATTTAGATTTAACCACGTACAGTTACTCATTTAGCAGTCTCAACGAATTTTACATCCTATTATCAAATTAAACTATATAAAATTGGCATTATAAATGTGTTCAGTTTCTAGTCATGGTAAAAACAAAAAGGCACAGACTCAAAGCTGTCCTTAGTGCTAATTTTTGGTATTCAGGAATCCACCAATAGTGGCTAGTCATGGGTAGAATCTACGCGACAGTGGATAAGAAAACTAGGAAAGATTCCACCTGCACACAGCACACCTTCTGCTCAGGCTTGAACACTCATCAATTTCCACTCGTCTTACAACAATTTCTATGAATGCTAAAGTAGCCTCCACATAATCAGTTTAAATCTGTTTATAATATAAAATAGAACATTCAGATTTTAACCTACATGTTCCCAACTTGGCAGCTCTTCTTTTACTAGTCTCAAAAAATAAACCTACATCTTACTATCAAACTCACTATTCAAATTTCAACATATGTTCAGTTTCGCATCGATGTCAAAACAAAGAGGCATGGGCTCAACGCTGTCCGTAGTGCTAACTTATAGCATTTGGGAATCTACCAGCATCTCTACTGGGCCCACATGCTGCTATATCCATACATATTTTTTCTCTGTCAAAAACTCCCCCTCTCTCTCCCCTCCCTCTTTATTTCCCATACCCAGCACATTACATCTGATCTAAACAGAGCCGTTCAGATAACTAAGAAGGGCGGAAAAAAGGAACTCTGATTAGCAAGAGATTGAAAGCACAGTACGAAAAGAAACAATTAACAAAACTTCATCTTCATACCTTGAGAAGCTTACGGAGAACTGGTATCTTAGTAAACTCCTTTCGAGACCGTTTCATAATATTGTGTAACATCTGCAAGCCTAAAAATAAAGCAAAGTCAAGCTCTTTGACACTAAAAAAAGCTCGTGGATAGAAGTAAACATAGAAGCCACATGGTAAGTGAAAAGAAGACACTGAATTTCTTGCATAGTTGCATCCACACTAAAGAACTTACCATTTTTGTTAATTACATCAACCAAAACTGTCTTGGATTTTGTCTTTAAGAGAGCATCCAGGATCATGGAAAGATCTCTATTACTGCACAAAGGAACCAGCTTCCTCAACAAAAAATCACAAAGAGATGAAATAAAGTTCATTAAACCAGAAAGGCACTTCAAAGGGACCTCTGAATTGCTTGACCATGGCCACCAGCATCCGAAGTAGCAGTTAAAAGCAACAGTTTCAAATATCCTCTTGATGCGTCCTAGAGGAAGGAAAGGTCAAGTAATAAGATAACTGTTAAAGAAGTAATCCATGATATACGTGCAATAGAGTCATGAGAAGATTTTTTAAGCAAAGTTATGTTATCACCAAAAGGACAACATTATCACTCTAGCAGTCATTATCAACTACATTATCACACATCAGAATGAAAGGAATGTATTTAAGTAGTCATTTCGATAATGTATATATATATAACTTACTTTTCGCTTGCTTATTCCCCCATCTTTATCAAGCAACTGGTTGAGTTTCTCTTGAACTGCAAAAAATAAGTAAAATATTATTGATTTGCAGATCATTAGTGATCTACGTAGAGAAAAATATAATATAGCGTTTCTCTTGAACTGCAAAAAAGAAGTAAAATATCATTGATTTCCTGATCATTAGTTGTGATAAGTAGAGAAAAATATAGAATAGACCTGCTTCGAAACGGCCACTAGATATAGCTTCCAGTAGCCTTTTAGGACTAAATGGTAGTGTGTGCACTTTGTTGACTATTTCTGGAGCTTTTTGAACATCCACGACATCAGTTTTAGCCTTTTTCTTCTTGACTGAAGTTGATTTCTTCGAAATGTGTGTGCAAGTATGGGACTTTAAGGTCACTATTCGGTCTTCCCCAACACTAGATTTTGATCCTTTCAAGAGATCAATTCCATCCGATAATTTATAAAGTGAATCTCCATCTGATCCTTGTTTGGATATACTTTTTTCTGTCACAGAGCACTCTTCGGGAGCTGGAGACGTATTTTCACTTGTTATATCATCGGATGGTGAGGGAATTTCTCCAAGTTGAATGACAGCGTGCAGTCCTGAACTTCTGTTTGAGACTCTAATCTCCTTTGTATTCTCTGAGGACATCATAGCAGTTGTCGAACCTTCAATAAAGATTTTATCTTCACCCGATGATACTCTAGCATGTTCTTCTGGGGAAACATTCAGATCTTTAGTAACAGGTAGAGCTCTATCCATCTGACCATCAGCTTCAGCAACATCCTTTTCAGGTCTGATTTCTTTGCCATTCAGGAACTTTGTCCTGGATATTGTTTTGCTCGGATTCCGGTTTATATTACCGTTTCCTCTTACCATAACAGGTTCTGGATATTCTTCATCTGAGTCACCCTGAACAATTTCTTCCGCATTTTCTGGATCACCCCCAATATAACCTCGACACTGTGACGAACCACATACACATTTCTTCGCAGCAGCCCCAAAGACTCGAACATAATTGTAATCAAAAGTCACCTCTTCACCCTAGTAGTACAGAAATGTTAGTAAAAGCGTGAATTCTTGTTGAAAGCGGGAAAATCAAACGAGAAACTTCAGGTTTTATTCTATAACTTCTGGGGTAAAATTGATGTCAAAGTCTATTCATCTGCAAGTTTACAGAAAAAGGAAAGCAACTAAAATTACATTAACTGATACCACTCATTCATTGGCCGAGGTGGGTGGAGTTATTAGTAAAGAAACATTTGGCCATGTACTAACCCTTAGGTCTCAAGATTGAGATTTGGAGAACGCAAGTGAAAAATCTATGTGTGCCAAGTATCTTGTGAGACACATCGAAAGAACTGGACAAAGAATGATGGATAGAACCACACAGCAAACCCATGTAGTATAATAAAACGCTAATTGTCTTTGTTAATTCAATGAAAAAGAAAATGGACAAAACACCTACAATACGAAGGCACAATTAGCCCATCTTTCTATGGGTGGAGAAAATAAATATATCAAATACGAAATTAGGATTTCATGCAAAAGTTAAAGATCAACATATCTTGTATGCCTCAAACACTCAAGGCTTTACCTTTTTTATATCTCTCAAAGCAAAGATCCCAACACAAACTTCTCCATTCACCATCCACTGTATCAAATCATCACAAAGCAAGGTCAGTTCTAGCAATTCCATATGATCCATCTGCTACTGCATCTCAAACAAGTGCTGCTAGGTTTGATCAAGTTAGTATAAAATATTACTACATCAAATACAGACTAGCATTGACATGATGGAACATCATGATGAACCTGAAAGCATGGGTTTGAAAGATAAATCTTACCAAGTTTTTTCTGACTTAAATCATAGATGACATTATAATGAAATTTGCCACAAGTGAGAAGTCATGGATGATATATGATGTTATACAAGTGCTTCAGAAAACAGATCCACATTTGCTTCGTCCTATAACCATGCATAACTTATGGACATACAATGATTTCTATACTTTCAAGACAAATTGGAACAGGTAAACCTCACAGAATGTTGGGGCATACATACAGAACATTTGAAACTTTTTAAGATATATAGAAATCACAACAGGGTACCCAGTTTCTTCTGCTATCATTAATGAAAAGACACCATATCAAGTGTTGACTCTACTTTTTGTACAACTTTATTCTACATTACGTTTAAGGAGATGATTCTCCCAACCTAGATGTCACAAGTTAACACTCTTTCTTTTAGTTTCAGACAGGCATGAAATATCACAATGGACCAGCAGATGAAACACCAAACAGATGTTTTGAATGGTAACCGGCAAGGAAGAAGTTCATATTCTTGATTTTTGAGTTTTCTTTCAACTACAGCAAACCAGATCACATTGCCAGGCTCTCACAAGGCAGGAGATTTTCCATAAACTTTCAATCGATGAGTGATAAAATAGCACATTCTCTAAAATCTAAATATTCCAGAGATAATTACCCTTAGTTTGAGGAACCACAACCAGTACATCCATCACAAAGGTACCAATACAAAAGGCAAACATACCAGACACGGAATAAAGCGAAAAGTACACTTACCTTTTCCGTCCGGCAATTCGGTTCACAACTATGATTTATAAAGCGGCCCAAATTTCCTTTGGCACTTGCATCAATTACCTGAACAGGTCAGACAGATTCCATACGTTGGAACTTACACAAAAATGACAAAATAAAAAGACATAAAATACACTCAAAAGATTCAAAAAGACATAAAGACAATTCCATCGAAGTTACACATTTGCAAGGAAATTTGCTTAAAGTTCTGACCCAATGAAAAAGCTAATTTAGTTTTCATGTCATAGTAACCCCACTTATAAGCAGAAGGATTCAATTACCAATCATAACGATAAAATCAAAAAAGCTACCATCTACCCAAGATTGAGAAAACCATAAATCTGCTCGCCTCTAACTTGCTTTCTACTCAGTATTTATAATATAGTAGTATTAATCATTAACAACAGTAATGGGAGAACTAAAACAAAGACGCAATTCGAACCTCACTTCCATTGAGCGTCATAAAGTAAAAATGTCTATGACCTTTCAAAGCATATTCCTTTTGCCGTGACTCGTAGGCATGCATATCAAGAACCTGTTGGGAAACAAAGCAATCTTTAGGTACACAAACATGTACATAAACTCGATTCATTCTACATCTTATTAGATCTAATGATCACGATATACATAAGAAATCTAAAGAAGCACGAGAAAACCACTGCACCAAATAATTGCTGAAATCGCACAATCAATACTAATAACAACAATTATAGGAAAATGTATATCACAAATTCACAAGTTCACTTATAAACCTGTATTGCAGATGCAAAATCCAACTTCAGCAAACAAAAGCAAGTAAAATAATAAGAAATTAAGATGCAGAAAAGGAAAATCCAGGAATATGGTTCAGAGAGAGAGAATCACTTAAAGCAAATTTTTAAAAATCAGAATGATTTAAGGACTAATAAGTTGAGTTACACACTGTCACAGCATCGGAAATCTGTTTACAAATCATTTATCAAATCATAAGTCTTTACTAAGTCCACCTGCTGTGGTGGTTCATAGTTTCATGCAGAGAAAGCAAAGATCGAAATTACCTCTCCAACATATTCTATAAGAAACTTCCCTTCAGAAACATCTTCAAGCAACTGCAAACCATATCCTTTTTTCCCACATTTAATGGACTTCAGCTTAGCATACCTGCGCTTCTGGAACTGTAGATCACAATTTCAGATACATATTAACATACCATCCAAAACAGAACCTTAGTTGCAGGAAGTTAAGCACGCAGGCAAGAAGTTTGACCACCTTTTGATTTGAACAAGAGTCACCGCAAGGACAGGTTCCATTTATGCATTCAATATTAAGCATTCGGTTAAGGCATCCATCTCCACAACCTGCTTGGCCATCAGAAGGTGGTTTGCAATGGCATACCATTATCTGGTTAAGACAAATGACAACCACGATAGCAAAGAGTTAGAAGCACCAACATAAACCAACTAGACAATAAAAAATTCTTTAGTTTTACTCATAATCATCTACACATCATTGTATCCTAAATTTTCATTTTCATTTAACCCAAAAAAAACAAAAGAAAAAATAAAAACAAAAACATTTTCCATGGAATCCACAAAGAGCAAATTCAGAAGACACAGCACCTCATCAATTGGCTGATTCTTACGGCGGCGATGAAGGAATAAGTTTGACTTAATAAGTGTCCAAGGTGACTGTTGAGTTACTGCAACACAAAATTACTCAAACTAAGTGCAGATAGATACGAACAGAACACATAATAGAATAAAGGACAGCTGAAACAAGAACAGTATTATTTCAGCTTCATTTTGCTCTGGATTGAAACCTCTAATAAAAAAAATATCGCTCATATACCAGTCAACTGCTTCTGCTTTGATTGACTAGAATCCAAGGGCAAATCACACTCATCTTCCTCACAAGAGGCATCAGATATATCAAGCTCAGCATTAATGTCAGCATTGGACTTCTCTTGCGGAATCGAGCAATCAGCAAAACCTTCATCCATATTATCCTTGCAAATCCTTCAAAGATAGACATAATTTTCCAGCCATTATCAAATTTAACATGAATGATTCTCATATAGAAATGAAAACTTAGTAGACCCTAAATGCATTACATCTACCTTACACTTTTAATTGTAAGAGATACTAAGCAATATGTTGTAATGTTCTGACGTCGCAATCATTACCACTAATAATTATCAGAACAGATTGCACACTTGTTATTTCCAAAATCTCCCTCCCCTTTCTTTTGAGTACTTACAAACAACATCCCAACTTTACCAACATGTCGAAGGTTTGTCAAAGCAGCTTAAGAGCATTCCATAATGGAAGTCCCAGCAAGCTTAATTGCTGATGTCACTGAAATAATTAAACAAGAGTGTTCCAACCAAGCCCATCAATTTCCTTCCACCTCAAGTTTATATTGACCGATAAAGTGAAAGGATAAATGCCTATAATCAATCTTGTGGTGTCATGATATACAATCTGCATATACAAATTAAATTCAAAGGAAATGGAATACACAATGATACATGGAGATTGGGGGCTGGCTTGCATTTGGAATACTTACAGGACTAGAAAAGATAATACATAAAACAAATTCCACAGATTAGTGCATAAAGGTTATGACTGATTAGGAAACCATATTCATAAGTACTATCAAATATTCAGCAAGGAAACACCAAATGAGAGTCATGGGGAAAGATTTTATTCATCCAATATAATGATATATTAAGCTTCTAAAATAGCCAAGCAGTGGTGACTACGACAGGATATCTCAATTCAGTTAACAAGAATTTCTTACCATCTACATTTAGTTTCATTTATCTGATCTGCAAGTGCAACAGGAATACGCCTCCATTTCCCACAATCATCGCAGCTTACCCAAGCGCTGGGTGATATGAATTGCTGTATAACCTCAGGGCTTGCAGTGTTTTTCTTGGAAATGTCAACTACACTTTCACTTCTGCCACCAGCTTCTCTAAGCTCTTCCATACCAGATATTGCATTAAAACCTGCAGCAATATAGGAGTTACATCTCTTACACTGTCGCCTGAAATAAGGACTGGAAGAATTGACAAAAAATACTGAAATGCACTCTATTGCGACAAACTACATGTTCAGAATATAATGATAGAAACGCAGAACAGGCAAGCTCACAGAACTTGGTATCCCAATATATAAGATTCCTACATCTAAACCAATTTCATACCTGTTTCAGCCCTGTTTCCCATTTCATGCAGAATCTCATCGAAATCTTTCTTGTTCTTCCTACTTTGCTTACCCGAAGATTTTTCTTTCTTGCTCTTTGTTTTAGTGGCTTTACCTCTATTGCTTGATGGATTAGGAGCTCCAGAACTGCTCTTCTTTTCTTTTCTTACACTAGAACTTTTGGGCAATTTTTTCCCTTTTGAGCAAGAAAGCAATGTTCCACATTTATTTGACTTAACCAACTCCTGCTTAACAGCAAATTTGGGAGAAAGATTGGCTTCAGTCAGACTTCCATCTTTGGCTGCATCACTAGAAATTGCTAATTCTGTCATGCTGGAACAAGGCACAGGATTTTCCAAAGATCCTTCCATAGGCAATGTGTTAAGAGATGCACTTTCAGACGTTGAAGTAGAAGCAGCACTGTAGTATGAAACATCACCAACTATATCTTCCTGCCCTGATTTTGGTGATCCGACAATATTGGTTAAATTTTCAGGACTAGGAACTTCATCGCTCACACAATCATTACCAGTTTGTTCGTGAAAATTTTTCCTCTTCTCTTCACCATCATTCTTGCATATTTTCGTAAAAGTAACGTCATTGTCAGAGCCTAAGTATGAAGTGGTTGAATTCAGGGCATGACACAGGATTTCAGGATCCTTTTCACTGATATCTGCGTCTGGGGTAGGATTTATGACTTCGGAATCGGGTGAAGTTCCTAAATCTGAAACTCTGCTTTCAATTGTCACTACCTCCTTATCATCCTCCACCCCTAACGGAGATACCTCAAGATCATTAGGAGTATCTATGTTGGCCCCAATACTTTCTGCATTTGCAAGATGCATCTCTGATGCTTTCTCTAAATATCCAACACAAGACTGGGCAGTCATTATTCCAGGTATCTGTTCCTGGGACAAATCCTCAATGGTCTTGGATGGATCAAAGGAATCTTTCTCAGCTTCCGAGTCTTCCTCTGTGCTGCCACTTATTGGCATAACCTTCAAAGTGCTAAGGATTTCTTTGCCAAATTTGACCTTCAACGAGATTGGGCCAGTTGGGATGCATCGTTCCTTAGTTAACTTTACGGAACTATGATTCCCACTCTTTCCTTGCTTCCCTTTGTCTGCAACTCTTGATTTTCTTGACCTTTTAGGCTTTTCTGGATGAATATTGAGTGTGACGTTCTGATCTAAAGTTGGTGCATCACTTCCGAGTAAACCCCATACAGTAGAGCGAGCCTGTTTGCGCACAGTTCTTTTCCTTCGATTGAACTGCAGAGAGCTAAAGTTGAGCAACACTTTGTTGCTGGATGCTCTTTTACAGCTCCTTGCCCCTCTTGGAGTCTTATTTTCCTCATGTACTTCACTTGTAACCTTGCTACTCTCATAAGGAGAGGGACAAGTCACATCAGGACTTGTAATTAAAGAGTCGTTAAGTTTAGACCATACTGTTCCTTCATCTCCAAAACCATTTACAAAGCCGTCTTCTTCTTCATCATTCCTCAGTAGAGCTGCCTCCTCATGACTATCAAATCCCGCGGTTTCTTGCTCATATCTTGATGACAAACCATCTATGGCAAAAGGCTCAAAAGTATCAGCTGCTGCATGAGCCCCTGGGAGCTCTCGATCATCCAACCTCTTTGATGTAACACCATTTCTCATGCAATACATCTCAGGAGATTCCTGAGCAGCAGAACATTTTCCAACACCAGAAGTAGAATCCAACACAGAGGAATTCTCAATGAAGTCGGGCACATACCCTCCTGCTCCCAGTGTTATCCCAGAAAGCATATTGCACCAACAGTCAGAATCTCTTTAATAGATACTAAGGCCTCAGCAGCAACACAGCCATGTAAGGAAGAAAGCACTACGTGCCATAAAACAACGCAAGGTTCAAGATTCTGAAAGCAACAGAAAACATATATACTCTGTAAATCTACAAAAATGTTAAATCAAGAATATGATGTCTGGAATGCCAGATATGGTTATGCTCATACTCTTCTTTTCATCAGACTTCATAAAGTAACTGTTTGTGAACTCAATAATGAGCAGAAAGCTAGCTGACAGAGCCAGCACTATTCACTAAAAAACTGTCAACTTAAGGGAAGGTACACCCAAAATTGGTAACTTCCATTTAGTTCCAACTTAACAAAAGGAGACTAAATCAAAGCAATCTGGATCAAAACACTCATCCATCATACTCATTCTAGTAAGAAACCCGATATGAAACCTGCCAACCTGAAGAACTATATCGAGGAACAAATTTCAGCCTAAATTAGTACATACGGAGGAACATGAATTCAGCAGTATCAGTCCTACAAACTGATAAAAACAAGAATCCTACTTGTACCCCTAGCACACTTAAAATAGAAAAAACTACGGAAGTGGCAAGCCCCAACAAGCTGCACAAATTCTTCCCCGGCCAAGTTCAAAACACAGAAAAGATGACTCCTCCAAAAATCCAAACAATGATCCAATAGTAACATTGCAACATCTTATCCTCGTGGTTTCCAAAACAATATAACTAAATTACACTCCACTTGAAAATTTTGGTTGCATCATCAAAAGACAAGCATACACATATAAAACTGTTCTTCCCAAAAACACGAAGATGGGACCAGAAGAGAACAAATCAATGTTTCAGATAAAAGAGTGAAAGCATATACGGACTGAGTAAGAAAATTAATAAAAGCTTCTCAGAACACACTGGGCTTGAGAGAAATGCCAAGTCGAAATAAGTTCAAACTCATTAATCAAATATTCTCGAAAATTTTGGCCAAAAGATAAGAAATGCAAATTTAAACCTGAAAAAAAACTTTTCAAAAAAAAACACAAAAACTTATCAAAACAAACTGGGCTACAAGAGAAAACCCCAAAAAACATGATAAAACCCCAAATTGAAAATTAGGTAGCAATGCAGTAAATAAAACTCTTCTATTATGCTTTTCTTCAATGTTGGTCAAATTAACCACGAGTAGAAGGGGGGGGGGGGCGAAAGTAGGGAGCAACAAAAACCCTAACCAGGGACCTAAAACAAAACCTAATCCACAGCTTAATTTGCCAATGTCGATACACACAGTCACACACGAACACACAAAACCGATACCATACCAAACGGAGAAAAAATCAATCGCAAATGGAAGGGGGTGAAAGATCATACCTCCGAGAACGAATTCGGGAGAGGGAAAACAACACAAACCCCAAAACCCGTTTGATAAAAGTGAAGAAATTCAACGAACGATTTCCTTCGACAATTATTATCGAAGGAAAATATATAAATGAGGAAGAAGGATGGAGGTCGGAAAGAGAGGAAAAGGAAAATTAAGAAAGAAAAAAAGTGTTTGGCGGTGTCAACAGACGGTTTTTTAGGGGAACAGAAGTCTATTGAACCCGATTCATTGAGTGATGGTATTATCTCTTTATTGTCAGACCTTTTTAAAATATTGTGAGAATATTCATACTATATGATGACTATGGTAATAATAAAAAAAATTAATAGTAATTTGGTTTAGACATGGTAATTTTTTTTTTTGGCATCATCAAAAAAAAAAATTTTTTTTGGGGGGGGGGGGTTGGAGATCTATCTATAGTCTATAATATATACACTTACATTTTAATTCAACTTATGTAATATCAATTCGAGTTAAATTAATATGATTACTATCTCTATATCAGGAGAAATTATAATTTCAATTTAATAGAATTAGACTGTAATTGACAAGGGTATACATTACCAAAAAAAAAAAAAACAAACCTAGAACCGTAAGTTACGCGGTTTTCACACGGTTTATATTTTTAGAGCTGTCATGGGGTTTTTAGAAAAATTCATGTACGACAGACTCTTCAATTAGATAAGTTTTAAGCATTAATTTTTATAATCTTTTTAATTTATTAAGAAATCGGGGTCCTCCCACCAAGTACCGTCCTGGATTTTCTTGAAAAAAAAATTACAAGGAGAAAATATATATTCATATGATTTGGTGCATGATGAACTTTTCATTTCCAAAATATTTTTCGATTCAATTTTTATCCTTTTTAAATTAAAAATTACTTCTGAAAGTTTTTATCCCTAATCCCATTCTTTCCGGGCAAGATTCCAGTGAAATTTAATTTTTTTAAATTACTTTTTCAAAAAAATTACAACATTTTCCTAATAGTTTGTAATTTATCAATTTAGCTTCACTTGTTTTGACTTTTTTCAATGGAGCTACATTTTTAACTTTAACCACCATTTATTTTACCTAATTTACCTTTATTTATGAAAGTCAAATATTTTTTGTTGGTAATGCAGCGAACCCCAATGTAAGTCATATGTCCATATCTAAAGATACTAGTGATGTCTGGTCGCGCAATGCGCGACTCTGGCCCAGTCTATCTGTAAATCTTAGAAATGTTTATATTTGAAAAAAAATAAAATTTTGTATTTGGAGCGATATATTTTAGAAATTTTTTATAAGTGTGATCATAGAAATAATTGTATTTCACAAAAAATAAAAGAAATTGTATTTCGCCATGTAAGTTATAGAAATATTTTATAAGTGTTACTTATTAAATACAAATAGCCTTAATCGAATATATGTATTGAAGTAAATGTTAGATAAAATATAAAAGTATCCTAATAAATTTAAATATTAGTAAGATGATTTATTGATATTCGGTCGTGCCAAATCAATACTTAGTTTTGGAGATTTTTAATAGCTTTGTAATAAGCTTCATCCGCAGGGTATACGCTTAAAACAAAATTGACACTTTGTAACAAAAACCTAATTGATCAATTTAACTTAAAAAACCACTCTAAATGAATGAAACATAAAGAAAAAATTTTTTTTAAAAAAAACGTGTCACGTAAAGTGCAAAGGGAGATTTAGTAATTTAGTTATGGTTTAGACAAAAGGGCAATTTAGTACTTTCTATATGCCACGTGGCAATCATATGAGGTGTTTGAAAGGAAGGTTTTTGTTTCTAATATAGTAGGATATATATTTTTTCACATTGTTTACCCTATTTATTCTCATTTTTAACTCAAAATAACTAGAAAAATATCCCAAAATATTTATTCATTTTTCTCCCACTCTTTTTTTCTAATCCCCGCTAGTTCACTACTAAATCAACTACCAAATTTTCATCATTTTTTTTTATCTCAAAAGATTCTAGAATTAATAAAATGATAATGTAACTAATAAGATAATCCTAACTAATAATGTACAGTTCATGTCTACAGAAAGGCTAATTTTGTGGCTAATTGTTTGACGGGAGTTGCTGCACGAGGTCTAGGAGGCTTTCAACGTCTTCCTGTTCCGCCGGCAGAGGCACGAAAATGGCTTAAACATGATATGGTCGGGGTTTAATACCCATGAAAAGTTTTAATTCTTGTAACCAGGCTTCGGCCGCTTGTATTTGTACTAAAAAAATATATATAATTTTTCCATGATAAATTGTTTTTAAAAATTAAAAGAAATCTAAAATTTGGATTGTTTCCCATTTTCAGCCCAATATTTTATTTTACCCGACTAACCACTTCTCAAATTCTTAATTTTTAATTTTTAATTATCATTTTCTGTTACACCTTATTTTAATTTTCATCCCCAAAAAATTCAAAACCCTATTTCACTTTACCTTATCTGTATTGTTTTACATCAATAAAAGATCCAAAAAAAATTCTTTATTCTATCATATATGATAATTCATGCACTAGTAAAAAAGGAAAAGAAAGTGAAAAAAAAAAAAAAAATCAATTACATGCAGTACATGCAGTACATGTTTTGCCCTTATCATAACGTCTTTAAAAAAATGCAAAAGGAAAAATAATTCAGTTCCACATTGACGAAGGGAGCAGTAGGAACGAGGCAATCCAAACATTGAGTAATAACGTTGGAGAAGGATTTAAGAATGAATAGTTGCAATAATTTTAATAACCCGAGAATTTGCAAGTATGATAATGAAGTCGAGGTGGTTATCATGGAATGAAAAAAAAAAAGATTTATTTAAGTTCAACAAAGGCTTTCCGAGAAAGCTTCGAGACTCCAAATTAATATAATTAAGTGTTGTCTATTAATTAATATGATTAAGGTTTTTGTTGTAACGATGTTGGAAAAGGATTTTGTGGAGTTCTTTTCCTTTTTTCGCAGAGATAATAAGGGCATATATGTCTGGTAATATTGTTTTAATTTTATGAATTTAGGCAAAACATCTGCTGCCCTTAATCAAAATATTTTTTGGTCATATTTATCTGGTCTAAAGTCTGAAATATGAAGATTGAACTATAAGTATTGAAATAATTAAATTTGTCTTATTTGATAAAAATCAAAATCTGAAAACTGAAAAAAAAATGCATGAAATCTGAAGTCGTTAAAGTCTTCACGTATAATTTTTCTTAGAAAATAAATGATTAATATGAGACCATAATAATAGAAATAATAATATTATTATGAAGTTGTGTAACAAAAATATTTATGTTTGATTATTTATTTTATTTTTATAATTAATAATAATAGAAGATCTTTATGGTAAATATATATTTATCATGGACTTTATTCGTATATAATTTTTTATTACAATAAATTCGAATACATAAAATAAAAAATAATTTATATAATTTTAAATTTCAAAATAAACACCAAGATTGAAAAAAATGAATCAAAGATAAAAAAAAAAGGATTAAAATATAAGCATAAAAGTAAATAATTGGAAGAGAAAAAGAAATGTATAAAAAATTCAGTTCAGTAATAAATGAAAGGCCTATCACTTATTTTTAGACTCAAATTTGTACTTGCATTTGAGACCCACTTAAT